GATTGTAAACTTTTTCTTCGTGGGTCTTATATTTCAAAGCTAAAAAGGCTAGAAAAAGAACAGTGATAGAATTTATTTTTTGCCTATTTGAATAGTGGGGGTAGAAGTGTAGTTGATGGAAAATGTCTATTTCTCCAAGATGCTGTGCCTTTGGGAATAAATTAATTATGAGGTATTTAGGAAAATGGGAGGACTTGGAAGCACTTAAGGCTACAGGATGTGGCCCCGTGCTGTGTTCAGCATCAGTTTTCAGTGATGCTGCCTTGTGTCCATGTGCTTGAGTTCTTCGTGTGTGCCTTCAGTTTCGTTCCTTTGTGCTCTTCCTCATGTGGTTTTCTCATCCTGGAATACCCTTTTCCACCTGCCAGAGTCCACATCACAGTAAAAATCCCAGAGTCCACATCACAGTAAAAATCCCAGAGTACAGGCTTGCCCTCTTCCAGAAAGGGATTTTCTGAATATGTTTTTCACTCTTCCCTGACCCCAGGTGGATATCATCACCCTGTCTGGTGTCTTATGGAATGAATGTCACTTTTAGCCTATAGTGGTATGTCTGCCCCTTTTCCTCTGGTGGGTGGTGAATGATGCTTCCTTGTTTCTGTATTTTCTAGTTTTCTAAATGACATGCTTAGCAGACAAGAGTGTGGTGAGTCATTGACACGTGAAAGGAGGTATAGGAACTTTTGACATTCATTTCTGCTGTGTGACTGAATTTATTTTTCCAGGGTGGAAGATTTGACAAACCGAGAGGATATACAAACAAACATCAAATGTGACCAGAAGGTGTCACTTTATGGTAAAGAAGAGCGCACTTAAAAAATAAAAGGCAGATTCACATGCCAGGTATTGTCTTGTTATTATAACATGTTAGAATTACACATAGGATTCTTGGGATGGCTTGATTTCTCAGGAAAACTGAAATATGACCACACAAGGGAAGATGGCCTTGCTGGAGGTTTGAAAAGTAACCCAGCGATGTGTAGGCCTGCAACTGTGTTATCAAATCCATCTTCTCCTGTAGCTAGAGGGGCACTGTTCCGGTTTGGTGCAGTGCCCTTCTTTAGTGAAATGTTTTAAGTCCTTGGACTGTGGATCATTTTTACCCCCACAGTCAACGGTAGATACTTACTGACTTCTTTTCAGCGGAAGCTGGCTTTTTAAAAGGGGCCTGTCTTCTAGGGGCAGGAGACTTCACTGTGAGTGATGTCAGTTTCCTCCCAGACCCTTGTGTCTTCCTGAACTACAGAAGAAGTTCTGTTTAAATGAGAAGGAGAAACTGGTTTATGTACCTCTTTCTGGAGTTGGGGGTGTGCTGTATGACAAAGACACTGTCTGTGTTGACCTTGGTGGCAGCCACAGTTTTGGGGCATCAGTGAGACAGGATTCACTGCTCTGAACTCTCATTCTTCTTTCTGAATCTATTTTTTAATCACAAAAAGTAATGTACTCAGCTTTTATTTGTTGAAGACTTTTCTCTTGTACTTATAATAAAGGCCCAAATGCATATTGTAAATCTATAGAATTAAAATAATACTTTTTTTTTCATTGTACCAAGCAGAGGAGTCCTGTCCTGCATGCCTCCTTGATCCATGGCCCCAGCACGAGCACTGCTGCCAGTGTGGCACCTGCATGGCCTGTTCCCATTTCTACAAAATCAGTGTGCTTTCCAGCTCTCGTTGGTCTTTTTCTTTTTCTCATTCACAGTGGTCTCCTCCTCTGTATTTTAAAGTGGATTTCAAATGTTTATTTGTCAGTTCTGAAGTTGAATTGTATTGGGTTAAAATCAGGGTTACTTTAAAATGTTAGAAAAGCTAGCATTGTTGTACAATTGGAACTGAGGTTTTTCTAGCTGGCTGTTTAGAGTATCAGGTTATATACTCAGAGAGCATTGGAAAAGTTTAATGGAGATGGGGATCCATTTCAAGCTTTGTTGTGAAGATTTTCTTCTCTGCTTTTTGAGACATTAAGAAAGGTTCTCAGGAAATGTGTCTAAGGTAATTTTGAGAAACTGAGTGAAACCAGTGTCTCTCCAGGATCTTTGTGCTTTCCTCACATACCCTTTCTTGGTGGTCTTAACAGGATGAGGTGGGGTCCACTTATGAGCTGGTCCAGAGTCTCATCTCCACCCACTCCATCATTGATACCAAGATGGCTTCAAGTCGAGTGATGCTGTTTTCTGATTCCAAGCCACTTGGGTCAGAGGATATAGATAATCAAGGGTAAGTCTGCTTTTTTCTATTTTTAATAAAAAGGTATATTACAGAAGATGTGTAATTCTGCCATCAGAACACATTTTGGTGGGATTCATTCTAGGTTGATTTGTTTTTCTTTGTGTGTGCATGTGTCTGAGGGCTCTTCACTTACCTGACATTACAAGAAAGTATTTACTTGAAATAAAATACAGGATGCACTTTTAAACAGACCTCAAATATTCCTCAAATACCACGCCATTTTCTGTAGGTTGCTTTTTGTTTTTTAAGGGACTTGAGGCCACTTGGCTTTCTTTTGGTGGCCAAAACACTAGAGCAGAGCCAGAGAGTTTGTGGCTGTCAAGAAGCCATGTGCTTTGGCTCCGAAAGTTTTATTTAGATTATGTTGTACTATCTCCTGTGGGTAGGCTTCCACTGATGTGTGGCTTATGTGAATTCTTTTTCAGTCTGGTTTGGAAATTTGTATGCCTTTATACATAGTGGATGTTTGTAAAACATTGGTTTTGTTGTATTGATTTATGACTCCCAGTAAAATGTATCTGAAAATTTTGAGATTATCTAGTATGTAATTTGTTACACTGTGCATAAACTACCTAGCATAGTGCCTGAGATATATGAAGTGTTCGCTGAAAGATCACTCTTTTATAATGAGTGTTATGAGCTGTTTTCATTTTTGCATATCCTTCTAGTCGTCCTTGTCTACAAGAATA